ACATGATTGTGGATATTTAGTGGGGGTAAAGTTTTGACCTGGTCGAAAAAACTTTAAAAAGGCCCCACGGTGGGCGCCAAAAATGATGGTATAAATATAGCGGGGTGGGTTAACCGGGTTTGACCTGGACACACTCGACCCGTAATATAAAACACACAACAAGAACACAAAGTATGACCTAGACCGGGTAAATCTCCTCAGTCCGAATTATATTTCTTACTCTATCTCAAGAGTGAACTTTAGTGAGAGAAAAATTGGCCCCCCTCCTCTATCCAATATCATCATATTTATAGAGGAGGATTTGTGACCTTCCCCTGTTCATCCATGGACAAAATAGGAAACCCGGAGGAAGGTCACTGTACATAATCAATCTACTATTCAATCAATGAATTTAGCAACTATAAGCCAAGACATGTACTGTTCAATCAAAGACTATAAATGGATATTCTCAATCCAATCAGCCCTGCAAAATGACAAACATTCCTTTCACTGTTTGCCTCGTGATGGACGAACGGCGGGGTGATCCCTCGATCTCATACGTGGTTCACCATGCCTGAGATACTGAACCAATGTTTGCAAAGTAAAGTGACATGACCGGTCACCTTCTCTCAAAGGTTACCCGGTCATTCTTTGTGCTCAACCCGTCTCTGGTCTTCTAGATTGTCCTTTGTAACATTAGGCGACATTTTGGCTAACGCCCAAAATGTGACCGGTCACTTTTTTAGTGGAAGTGACCGGTCAAAAGTTGACCCGTCCCAATCGAAGAATTAACCTCATTTGGTGATTGATAAAAGTGACCGGTCATATTTTGACCTGTCCCTTTCGGTTGTCCGGGTCGGGTATAGGGATATACCCATCATTTTCATTTTTTTCCAATTCCCTAAAACACTTCCACTTTCTACTCCGTATTAAAAAACCACTTTTACCCATACTTTTTCATACACTAACTATCACATCATACTTTTTCACTAATAACCAAACTATCACATCTTACTTTTACCCATCACATCAGGGACAAAATTAAAAAGGCAACAAAAATTACACTTTCCTTAATTTGGCTAAAAATCAAAACAAGAATCTTTTAAGAGAACGGAGGCAGTATAATTTTTGGATGGGAAGAATTGAAATTAGTAAAGTAAAAAGTGAAATTTGCACTAAATAAGACTAAAACATAAGTCATTTTTTCCAATATAGGATTTAAACTTTTTTATTCCCTAAATAAGATTAAATAATGTCTTGTGGGAAGAATAATGTCTAGTAATGATGGTCATTTACTTGAATAATGACCAAAGGACCTATATGGATTGGATTGTACAGTACCCTATTATATTTTAGTCCTATTTAAGTAAATTTCTCAAGTAAAAAAGGGATAAGCATGCATGACAATAGGGTATTGTACAATCCAATCCATTTAAATAGAGACGATGCATGCATGGGAGAAACCATCAAATACGGACTGCAACCTAATGGATATACAAAGCATACAATCCAATCCAATTCTCCCTACTATAAACTACCTACGTTCCTACAATGATGTCGTCGTCGTCGTCAAACGTGGTCGCCGGTGCCATGGGATCATCATCCCAAGGAGGATCAGCTACTACTACTACTAGTGTGCCCCCGCCTCCGTCTTCGCCGCCGACCAATGGTCCTACATTGGAAAAGTCGATGGTGCCGTAGATCTGGCATTCCTTGTAGAACTGATTCCCCTCTTCAGGGTAGAGGGTGTCTTGGTAGCCTTCGAAGTTGCACCTGTAGAAGGCGGCGTGGTTGGCGCTCGCCCTCATCGCCACGGCCTGGTTCTTATTCGTGCCCGCCTCGTTCCGCACCGTCATATATGCACCAATGAACCCTTCTCCCACCACAACTGCATCCATATATATAGCACTGGCATATACAACATGCATGAGTATTAAAGTATTAATTATTATTGTGTCATTATGTATTAGTATGTAATACTAAATATTTGTCTACTTTTGACTTTTGAGTTTAAATCAAATAAAAATGATATTAGATATTGATGCAAAAATAGTTTTATTAGATTTATTATATCAAATATTTTCAAAATATGATTTTATCTAATTAATATACAATATATATTTCATTTAATTATAGGACAAAGGTTGAAAATTATTGACCGAAAAAAGTCAAAATTGAACAAATAATGAGAGACGAAGGTAGTAATTAAATAAAAAAGTAGCTTTTGTTTGGATGATTATAATGATGATTGATTGATTGATGAATATGATGGACTAGTAGTGTATAGCTAGCTAGTACTACTCACTGAGGGAGGCGGAGAAAGAGGTGGTGAAGCCGTCATTATGATTATGCCTTCCGGTGATGATGGTGTTCCCAATGCCAGCTCCGAACAAGGTGACGTTGCTCTTGCTCATTGTGACGTACTCTTCGTACATCCCGGCCATTACGTGAATTCCGAATCGAGCGGGCAGCAGCGGGGCTCTCATCGGGGCTTCAGCTATGGACTTGAATGCTCCCGGGGTGGTGGAGGGATCTGGTGACACCACAACATCAATCCGCTCGAATACTCATGCATGCTGTATATGCCAATGCGATATTTGGATGCAGTTGTGGAGGGAGAAGGGTTCATTGGTGCATATATGACGGTGCGGAACGAGGCGGGCACAAATAAGAACCAGGGCGATGAGGGCGAGCCAACCACGCCGCCTTCTACAGGTGCATCTTCGAAGGCTACCAAGACACCCTCTACCCTGAAGAGGGGAATCAGTTCTACAAGGAATGCCAGATCTATGGCACCATCGACTTTCCCAATGTAGGACCATTGGTCGACCGCAAAGACGGCGGCCGGGGCACACTAGTAGTAGTAGTAGCTGATCCTCCTTGTGATGATGATCCCACGGCAGCGCCGACCACGTTTGACGACGACGACGACATCATTGTAGGAACGTAGGTAGTTTATAGTAGGGAGAATTGGATTGGATTGTATGCTTTGTATATCGATTAGGTTGCAGTCTGTATTTGATGGTTTTCTCCCATGTATGCATCGTCTCTATTTATATGGATTGGATTGTACAGTACCCGATTGTCATCCATGCTTATCCCTTTTTGACTTTACTAATTTCAATTCTTCCCATCCAAAAATTATAATTTCCTTTTCTATAACGCTTTCCAAATCCCTATATATCATCATCCGAGTAGTGATAATTAAGTTAATTAGAGTACTAATATATGAATGCTGGATGATTCGGATATATTCTTATTGGATTACTTTCTATATTATTGATGATTCGGATATATTCTTATTGGATTACTTTCTATATTATTATTATTGAATTTACGTACTCCTTATAATTCTACATCCCAAATTCATTATTTCAACTTATCCAATTTAATCTAGGGTAATTTGCCTAAATAGGACTAAAACATAATGACTTTCTCAATATAGGATCATGTGTTTTTATTTTTTGGCCAAAAATTATGCCTAAAGTGTGCTTGAGACAAGGTAATAAGGTAACTAGAACAATGTAGTTTGAGACAAGTCTAACAATTAGTGTTATACACTCTCCATCTCAAAAAGATTTCATATTCATTTTCTCACAGGATCAAACTTTGACCATTTTGTTTTCCTATTCTCATTATATACTTGATAAAAAATAGTTTTATTATCTCTTGAAAATAACTTCAATCAAACATCATAACTCACAATAGTAAACTTTTTTTGGGACTATAACAAGTTGTTTGGCTAGTTATGAGGTAAATTCAGATGAATAATTATAAAATATAACTCTGTATTAGGATAATATAGATAATGTATGTAGTTAAACTTACCTACATATCAAACACACAGGCAAGTAACTCTTACCTCAACCTATATCAGATTGCCTCGGTTAATTTCATTTTGCAAACAATATCTACCTCTTGAATTCCTTTATCATACCTACTTCGAAATCGCATACCGGGGGGGGGGGGGGGGGCAAAAAAAAA